TACTGGCTTCCAAAAACCGCAAAATATTTGGGTGGCGAAAGCGCTGAGCCCATATAGTCTTCGCCAAAGTTTTCAGATCTATTTACAGTGGAACCTCTATTAAACGAAGTCCTTGGTATAACGAACAATATTCTCTGCCCCAGTAATATTATGGAAAAAACCCCCTGATATCCTGATATATTGATACCTCGTTAAAGTGAGCATATTTTGCCAGTCCCGTGGGCCTTCGTTATATCTAGATTCCACTGTAATACTTCAGGCTTAATTCCTTGGGACAGTTAATCATGCATGCCCATTCTATTTGTAAAGCTGATGCTTTCCTGGCTTGATCAGAAATTGAAGTGCTTATGGTAACTTGGCAAATATTCTCAACATTTTTTCCTTAGTGGTATGAATTCGGAAAGTAAGAAAACATACCTTGATCAAAGCAAAAGGGTCAGGTAGCAGATCTCTTAAGGTTTCACATGAATGGCCTGATACTCTTTGAGAGGACAACAGAACAATAACAGCTGCTACAGCATGACCAAGCAAAATAATTACAAGCTTACGAGAGCTGCTACACTCAGGGTTCGTACCCTTTTTCAGAAACAAATTTCCAGGACTTTTCCAGGACTCAGATTGATTTTTCCAGGACTCTAAAATTTACATTAACCCTTTCACTCCCAAGATCTCAATTTTAATTCTCCTTGCTGTGTGCCATACATTTCATATTTTTTACTTGCGTTTAACAGATTTCCAGCACTTTCCAGGACCAGTAGCTCTTTTCCAGAACTTTCCAGTCCTGGAAAATGCCACAGTAAAATTCCAGGACTTTCCAGGTTTTCCAGGACCCGTACGAACCCTGTACACTTCCTTGGTAAACCCAGCAACAATCAATCGATTTTGAATAACAGTAATTGACAAATAAAATGAACCCATTAGAACAGATGGCGAAGGACGGCCTTGGATGGAATAGGATTGCAACTTTTCTTCTAGAAACTTGACAATAACTACTTCCAAAATGAAGTGTAAACCTTTATTCGCAAAGGTTAATTTACGATGTTACAAAGCAATAAGGTACACTGTCAGTGGGATTTCCACTTTAACAGACATTACAGGGATCATACATATTCATATTCTCAACACCTTTCTGCTGGAAAAGCTGTTAATATTGTATGGCGAATTTAAAAGATGCTGATCACTGACTTCTTTTACATGGATCGTGTCTTTTCGGTCGGCGCCGAACAAGTACCGAAGACTTACCGATTTTTAAACACCCAGTCGGAAGACTACACGAACATCCTCGAACAAACAGTTAGAGAGTTGGTATGCACGTCCGCTTGTCGTCATAGCAACACGCCATTGTCACTTAGCAACTAATTCATGACGACTATGTAACAGAAGTTTTTCCTTGAGACTGTACAGTGTCATTAACCCCTCAAAAACATCAACTTTACATTAGTTTCAATACCTTCCATCGAACAAGTATGACTTCTAAAATCGAGGCTCCCACAATTATATTTTCTTAATTAACTTTCATTCGTTCAGAAATTTGCGATTGTCGAAGGAACAAGAGATAATTCGACGGCAATCTTTGGTCATTTTGTTTCACATGCCAACACTAGATACTCCTAGTGTTTTCATGTAACANACTTTCCACCAGATGATCAAACCAGGTGGGCAAAATCAGCTTCAGAGCTGGTCAATTTGCCCTTTGCCTAGCGCTTAATGAAATCTGCAGATGGTGCAATTCAGTTCATCTTGACCATCAGCAGATCAGAAAAAGATTAACTGTTTACTACAATTATTAAGGTGATAGAAGACATCAACATGTACATGGATGGCTGTTACCAATTGTACCTGTTGGATCCTTGAGCAAAACACTAGCATCTGCTTCTGTGAGTGAAAATGCTTTGACCAGCGCACACAGGCAGGGCACTTTACCTTGTTCGAGTCTTTGTTGGATTGCCTGAATGGGATGAAAACACTCACTAATTATGTTTCGAAATAAAATAACAATCCTTATAATCCATCAGATATTTTGCTCGTGCACAATGGGTCTAAATGCATCACGTGACTGAATATTCCCCAGCCAAAACTGGGGAATATCCGAGAATATTGCCTGATTTTTAAAACTGCACGTGTTGCAAAAAATATTTGAAGGATAATAAACATAGTAGCCTCCATTTGACGTTGAAAATATGCTCAGATATTTGTCCTTGCACATCATCTGTTCCTCGAAGCTCACAGCTTTCCTCCAGCTCTCGGAAAACTTTTCGTTTCTCGGAACAGATAATGTCTACGGACAAATATCCAAGCCTATTTTTGTACCAAATGGAGGCTATTGTTTATATAACGAATTGTTCAAGGAACTTAAGGTACATGTATGCTTGATGCAACCCTTATGACGCCATCTGGACAGATGTAATGGAGGTGCATGAGTGACATGGATGTGATTGATGTTCTTGAATGATACAATTTACTGCTGTTGTTAAGGAATCTTTAAAAATCTTTAAAAGATATTGCAAGAATCCTTAAATGAAAGATTCAGAGATTCAGTAGCAAGAATCAGTAAACCTGATTTCTTAAAATTATTTTACTTTATGCAATAAATAGTACTGAAGATTTTAAAATACAATTTCATGCAAGTTAAATAGTATAGAATGAAAACATACCTCATTATATACTCTGATGATAGTGTATCTCTTTGCCAGTGGAACATCTGTGGCAAGACATATATCTTATTAGATGTTTTGGTGGGTAGTATCGCTGTATATTTTTACGAGTTGTGCTGTATTTTGACTGGCCCTATGGGCTTGTCAAAATACAAACAACAAGACATAGTACAAATATACAGCGATACTACACACCAAAACATCTAATAAGTGATTTATTATCCAAATATTTCTTGTCCCAAAATTCTGACTCGCCAAGTTCTTTAACCTTTCACATGGCCAGGAGGAATGAGACAAGTACAAATATCGTGATATTTGTACTCGTTTCGCACGTTATTTGTACTCTACGAAGCAGAGTTGGATAATAAAAGAAAGTTATTGTTACAGTAGATGGGTGCTATTACAAGTATTAACTTTACTGATGAATGTTTTCCCATTTGATTTTGATTTTGTATTTTTCTTCTATATAATTTGTACCAGCGTTAGGTCACAGCTGAATAAATAAAGATCACATCGTATCACATCATTGCTTGTCATAATCACATCACATTCACACACTGTACCATACAACAGCGTACAGACTTACTTGTACGGATAGATAGAAAGACTCCAAGTCGCTTCATGCTTCATAGAACAGAGATAAGCACTGGCTTGATGGGCCTCTTGGCTCATACACCTGTATGCTGACTAAACCTTAAGTTTATCTTGCTAGTATTGTCCTTAACTATGAAAGTTCTCATCATACATTTCACAAGGTACCACTAAAACATCAAGACACATTTGCAGATTTGCAAAGGCAAGATCTCAACATTAAACAACTCTGAGGACAGAGTTCTAAACTTGTGATTGTATTAATAATGTATTTGTACATACTAATTATTTACACTACATGTGCTCACTCTTTAAGAAGTCCTGATGCATGTATGTCCATGGATCTCGATTGAAATCATCATCTTCTGAAGTGTTTGACTGGGAAACCTTTGATGAATGAATAATATTGTGTATCAATCCTCAGAAACAGCTTAACAAAGAGATTCCATGTTGCTCTGTGTCTGTTCAGTAATAGATCACAGATGAGGTAAAAAATGTGGTAAGAACAAAGAAAAGGCTCTTGAGCCATTAGGCGAGCATGTCACTGATGTTCTTATTGTGATCTAGACATTACTGAACACGGGCACGGCAACATGGAATTTATCTGTTTTATATAATAAAGATTGAAACAGAGAAGGAATGTTAATGACAACATTGATACATCTGTCCTCCAATAGATCATAAGTAAGAACCAATCAAAATACGAGGAAAATTTGACTTAATATGTAAACATTTATTGCATTTAAATTTAAGAAATAAAACACATGTTCATGGTCTGTATTGAGTTATACACATACATGTAGAAACGCTGGTTAAGGTTTGAGACATGATACAAAAATGTTTTGTTTTCATTTAGAGAATATAATTTTAAAAAAGTAATTTCTCTCTGCTTGTGTAATCTACAGCCATATGGTTACAAAAACAAAGCTTTTAGTACAGACATTCTTATTGTTTTCTGATTGTCCATGTATATCTTTTGTACACTTTCAAAAACACGAATTATAGCGCTACACATGAACAAGCACACGCTGCACACATGTTACATAATTTTAACTTACATGTACTTTGTTCTCTGCTGGAGATTTTTTTCTCGTGGACGGAAGTGGAGATACTAAAGATGTATCATCAAGCTTTTGTCCAGGACTCTATAACCAAGAGTAAAAAATATGTTCTTCAGCACTGTTGATTTGGAAACATTCTTAATCTTAAAATGTGTGTAATAAAATTTATTGCTGTGATATGGTGTCACTGGAGAAACCAGAGCACTCATCTATACTGACACTTAATTACGCGTACATTACATAGTAAATGGTTTGAACTCAGGAGTATCACTAGATAGTATTGTGTGATCGTCTGGCTGAGGCTAGTTCAGAAAAGAACTGTTGTTGGTGACTGATGTTTTGACAACCTGAGTGGATGTCGTCTCAGAGTCAAGTGAATAGTGTTAGTCAATCAATGATGTTATAAGTCTTGTCTATTGAAAGTGATTGGTCAGTTTAGCTGTGATGGTAATGACTGAAAGACTTGTGTAAATTTTGTCAGCAGTTATTAGTCAGTCCTAGTTAATCTTATCCATCTATAGTAAGTCAAATTAAGTCAGTCTGTTTGAGGTCTGTTTGTTGGTTTTGTTTATGTCCTGAACTTAGAACAAATGCCTCTTTAGTTAACAGATGTCAACAACTACCAGCACCTTACAAACTTCTTATTCAAGACATAAACGAAACTGATAAAAATGGACCTCAAAAAGACTGAGTTAATTTAATTCTATACCGAATTAATTTATTCTAGTATATAGCCACTACAGCCACTAGGTGAGGTGCGTGACCATTGTAAGTTGTAGATTGCCTCTGCAGTTTGTGGATACCCATTGTTAATCCTGGGAGGAACAAGGCACTATGAAAGCAACAAGTTGTACTCAAGAACATAACACAAAGGGCCTGACAACCTTGCAAAGTAAAGTCCATTACCCAGACCATATTGAAATCATTCATCCCACTTAAATATCTTACATCATAGCAGAGCTTGATGTTGCGACCACTGGTGGTCACCAATGTGACTAAATTTTTTTCACTGGCGACTAACTTTCCACGCTTTTCACTGAAATACTTTTGCTGAGACTTTTTAAAACATCCTTGCAGATCGCTTCCCTGAACTCAGTAATTGCAAAATATTTTACAATAATTATTGGATGAGGTTGAGCAGAATAGCGGGGTTTGTCAGTTGTGTGCAGATCCTTTAAGAAGCCTTTAAATCACTCTCTTGCAGTTCAGGGAAGCGATCTGTCGTTTTTTACACAAGAGCTTGGGTATGATTATGCATGAGCAGAATATTAATTTTACAACAAAACACATTTTGACAGTATTGCACATGAGAAAACCATTATTTGTAGGCAGCTATTTGCAAGTCATGTGGTGGCCTTTTAACCGATGAAAAGGAAGGGGAAAAAAGCATTGAATGACAGGGCGATTTGTAAGTGTCTTGCGGATCAATATTATTTGCCTCAGCCTTCATCCTCGGCAAATAACTGATCCACTTGCCACTGATAACAGCAATATTTTGTTCAAGTTGGTCCAATAACTGTTAATTATTTACATACATGAATATTATACACACCAGTTTTGGCAGAAGACCAGCAGGTCCAGGAAATTTCCTAGATGTTGAAGTTTTGCTAACAGATGGAGTTCTTGAATGGCTTCTGTTTACAACAGGAGTAACAGCTTGGTGACCCTGTGAAGTGTTTGAACCAGTATGCCCACTCTGCTTGGACATTACAGGGGTTTCAGAAGCTTTAGTTTCATTCAGATTGCCATGAAAAGTGTTGGCAGAATGTCTTTCTGTTTGATTGCAAAAGGAAGAACTTGTTTTGCTTATAGGTAGAGGAGAATCTTTTGCTTCACCATTTAACAATGGTGTATATCTCAAAGACCCTTTTTGCTGCCAGACTGGACTCATTGTCTTTGTATCTGTAGCTTTTGAATTATGGAAAGATCTAAAACCAGTAGAAATATTTGGACTGTGGAGTAGTGAAAGTTCTTTTTTGGATAGAAAGTTTGATGTTGAATTAGATGGCAAAAGAACTTTGTTTGAAGGATCCAGTCTTTTATTAGATTCAAGTGAATCTCCAGGTTTTAAGTTGCACTTTGAAAATTCCTGTAACTGTGAATCTCTGCTTGATACTTTCCTCTGAAATGGTGAGGAATTGCACGTTGGATAAATTTTGTCTGATGAGTGCACCACTGTGGTACTTTCTGCAGTCTTGATTGATGGTGTGGAAGATGATCGTAACAAACTGGCCCTATTTCTGGACGAAGGTTTAGGTGATGAATTATTATCAAATGCAAATCTTTTAGCCAGAGGGGCAGGAAATCCATTAGCTGAAGACGTTGTGTTGTTCCTTTGCAGGATAGTTGTACTTGCAAATGAAAAACTTCTGTGCATTTGCTCTGTGGAAGATCTTTTCTGTTCACTAACCCCGCCACTAGTGTTTATGTTGCCAAGTGATTGAAATGGCCTTCTTGAATAATGACTGTTAAATTTCTCTACTTCTTTTGCTCTCAAGAGTTGTGTTTGGGAGCTATCTGTAGAACTGCCTTGTTGTAAAACTGAATTCGTCTGAGAATTATCGGTGGTGCACTGAACTGAACTCCCTGTGACACAAGCTGCCAATAAGCAATCCTAAAAGTAACAATCACACGCTAGATTTAAACATGCTTACATGTACATGTCATTATCATCGTCATGATCATCATCAGTCTGTTACATGCCGAGTGACGCACAGCGCATCAACACGCTTTCTCCAATCCTGTGGGTCCTTTGGAAGCCTTAAGATTTGCTCTCTGGAGACAGGAGTTTAAATAGCTGAGTGATTTTATGCAAACACGGTTAAAAAATTCCTTTAGCCTATTCACAATATTCAGCACTAACAAACATAAGCTGTTTTCACGTAAAAGATTTGTAGCTTCTTCAGATCACGCAAAACTTTCACGCTTCCTGTCTCCATAAATTACATGTAAATGCTGAAAGTACAGTATAAACCATCATTGAGCTCATGGACTGATTTAGAACCTTACGACATGTGAGCTTAATTACATGAGATATGACGTCTTTGAGCTCCGAATATTCGAGTGAAAAAGAACTCTTTCCTTTGGTTCGATATGTATATTTTAGCGTGAACGAGTTTAAGTTTATATTTATGAAGAGTACAAACGTGCAAGGTGTAGACCTGAGTTTTCTCCCTTTTACCTCATCATCAAGATCCATTTCATCTTCGCCGATTGAAAACAAAGACGACATTTTCACAGCTTCACAAAATTACTACTGGGGATTATCTAAGGGTTATACGACATAAATCGACCTTAGTTAATCAAAACGGAGCTACTGAAGCACGCAGAAAAC